AGGGCCCGCGCGCAGCCGCCGCCGCCGCCGCGCGAGGAGCCAGGATGGTCCTGGTCCACGTCGGCTATCTCGTGCTTCCAGTGTTTGGCTCTGTGCGAAACAGAGGTATCGCTTTTTCCTTTCGGGGTCCGCTTCAGAGCGTGGATCGCCGCAGGCACCGGGGCGGGGGCGGGCGCCGCGGGTGGCGGGGGGCGCAGGGCACACCCGCGAGGACGAAGGGCGAGCGGTGGCTTCTCCCCTCTACCTTTGGGGGGACCCCCCAGTGTGGGGGTGGCCGCCCTCGTGGGAGCTTTTGTAGTGAAGTTAGGGCTTGGCGAATTTGGGTCCCTCCTTCCCCAGCCCCATTTTTTATTCTTTGCGGCGGACGCGATTCCCCCAAATCACAGCCCCTTCCCCGCATACCTAGCCCTGTATGATCGAAAGACGGAGAGAGATACATGACTGTGTGCGTGTGTGCGTGCGTGCGCACGTGTGTAAGCATACTTGCTTTTCTGTGATTTGCTTTTTTTGAGGTATATGTGTGTTTTGTGTTATTCGTGTTTGTATTTCATTTTTTGGTCATGGATACCGATGGCTGGTTAGCTGGGATCTGGGATCTGCCCTATCCCATGTCCCAGCCCCCACCCTCTCTTGGGCACTTGCACGATTTCCCGTCCCATCCTTTTCTCTCCTCTAACCCTTTTTGTGTGTCGCCCTTGTGCTATGCCCCCCTTCCTCCCCAATTGTCTTCGTATGACAGTTGCATTTACGGGTTCAAGATGCTTGTGTGCGTGTGTGTATGTGTGCGTGTGCAAGTGTGTGAGCGCCTCGGAGAGTCAGACGTGCCCTGGTGTGCACCCCTGGGCCCGGCCGGAGCGGGGTGCCCGGCCCTTGGGTGTTGCACTATGTGTAAGGATGAGGTGGGAAGCTGCCCCGCGCCAGGCCTTTTGCCCCGGGCAGGCGTTGACCAAGCAGCAGGCCGGCGCCGGCTTTGTTTTTAACTGTGATATATGGGGTGTGTTTGCACCGTCCCCTTCCCCACATCCCCTTTCCCTTACATTCTGCTACAACAATAGCTTGATTTCCCCCTCTTCCCCCAACCACCGCACATTTCTTCCATTTTCTTTTAATCAAAAATTCCCACCTCCCAAAGCAAATCCGAGATGCATTTAGATTCATTTTTTTTTTTTTTCTTTTTGTATTCTGCCTCTGGACTCACATTTCTCTTCTTGGAAATGTTTGTGCTATCCTCTCCCACTCCACGTCTGTTTAAATCCCTGCTGGCTAAGGCCCTCCCTCCCCCACCCTCCCTCACGCACAGAATGATGTCTTCCCTTGGCGACCAGAGTTGCTCCACCAAGTCAGAGTGGGGGGTGGGGTCGCGGGGCCAGCGCTTGGTGCGCCCCAGGGGCCCGATTGGGCGAGAAAATGGAAGCCCAGCCCTCTGTTCCAGCCCAGCTGTCCCCAGCCCCACGCCTCTCCCCAGAACCTAAAAGGCAAGGTTGGCCCCCTTAGGCCTGTTTGAACCGCAGTTTTTTTGTGTGATGATAGAATGATGACATTCTGCATTTATCAAATCTTTTTTTTTCTTCATTGTGTAGCTCAGTGAATGGTCAACTCGCTGCTGTGTGCGCTGTGACCCTTCTGCCTCCGCATTTAGCTGTATTGTGACACCCCTCTTAACCATCTCCTGTCTCCATCTGAGGAAGGCATTGCTATTTAAGCGGCAGTATCCCCTATCTCAGGCCAGCCTAGAAGTGGGGGGTGGTGGTGGAGTGGGTGCCAGGGGAACAGGAATGGGGGGGGCTGGATGAGATCTCCCTTGAAATGCCAACCCCCTCCCCCAATACACAATTATGTCTTTTTGCTTGGCATTTCCTCTTAAAACGGGTGTGGAACATTATACTAGGCAGAAATTCAAAAATGATTAAGAAGGATGTTGAGCCTGAAAGTATAATTATCCTGATTAAATCATTATCATCCTCATTAATACCACTGATCTCTAAATACCATTGCAGGATGCCGATTCCATGTTTTGAAATTCAAATTGCTCAGCTGCCTTTAAATTTTATTTTTAATACTCCCCCCCCCCAAATCCAACAAAACAAAACAAATTCTGCCCGTCAATCAAAGTTTACTTTCATGGCAGACGTGCCCACAGGAAATTCTGGAGCTAAGGGGTGAACCGGGCTGTGGGTAAAATTTAGCACAATGTGATAAGAATTCATGACCTTCCGATAGAGGATACTAATGCTTAACCCAAAAGGTCCTAAACCACAGTCTTCTTGTAAAACTATTAGATAGCCTGCCAGCTTAAATCTGTTCTTTTTAGTTTCCATTGTAGAAGTATAGGATGTAGGCCATTTCAGAATAGATGTAGAGAAATAACCATTTTTGTATCTTCATCTTGTTTAGCCGAGTACATTGCACTGTAAATCCCTGTTAAGTGGATTCCTTTTGCCTTGGCTTGGAGACTGTAGCACCCCATTTCCCCCAGATCTGGGTGGCCATCAGCTAGCTTCCTGGCAGCACTCAGGCATAACCAGAGATTGATTACATTTAGTCGGAGGCAGAAAAGAATAAATATATCTATATGAAAATCTTTGGTGAAATGACGGTTGCTGCTACCCCCTAGCTTCTGAAAATTTGATGCAGCAATGTCTCTGGCTTAAGGGGGAGCCATGGCCACGGTGTCTTAATTGTTTAATTGTACAGTGTCAAGAGCATCTTTGGACATCCGCCCTGGCCCTCAGAGCTGCCCCTTTAACAGCCGGCTCCCTTCTGCTGCCTCGCCGGCCAGACCTGCTTAAACACGGAAACAAAACAGCAGCAATAATGAAAGAATAAGGCCCCTACTTCGAGGGCCCTTCCAAACTAAAGTCCCAAGTGGCCTCCCCAGATTGCCATTTGGCAATCTGAAAAGAAGGAGGAGAAAAAAAAAAAAAGGAGAGAATCTCCAGCAAAATGGTTTTCCATTAAACAGGGATAGCGTGTTCTGCTGTGCTGAATTACTTCCTGTTCTTATTTTGTGGGTAATTTTTTCTGTATCGAATATCCTTTTGGTTGTGTATCTTTTTCACCTTTTCTTGTACTAAAACTAAAGCATGATCTGTATTTTTTTACATCCCCCAGTTGACAATGTACAGCGCTCGGTTAGAGATGTTACCCTGCTGAAACGTACTGTGGTCGTGTAGCCCGGGGCCATCTGCTCATTGTACGCTGCTTTGTTCTGTTGCCCTTCCGAAGCATGGTGGGCCCAGCCTTTTTTTTTTTGTATCGTGTGCATGACGACATTGTTACACACAGATTCCACTAATACTAATATACAATCTCTCAATAAAGAACTAGTTTCCTATATTAACCTAGTGTGCTTTTTCTCTTGCTGTTTTCCCATTTATTGTCGTATCCTGCTGTTTAGATATCCCCCTGCTTTTCTATCCCCACCCTCACCCACCCACCACTCCCACCTCCCATTGTAAGATTCGAGTGAATGCCTTTTTTTTTTTTAACTTTATTTATTTATTTATTTGTGGTACAGATATGGTGACTTTAATCTCATCCAGTCCATATCTTTTGACAATAGATGTCTGGGGCGATGGGAGGGTCAGTTGTCCTGTCACATCGAAACAGCTCAACTGTGTAGAGAGAACCCCTATCTTTGGCCACCTGTGTACCCAATAGCCTCCACATTTCACCTTAGTTTCTAAGTCACGTGGGCACTCGGTTTATGATGCTGGTGGAGACAGATATATAACACTTAGGTTGAGAAAAGGGATACTGTTCTTAACTAGCAATCTTGTAGCATTTCAGACTCACCTGAAAAACCCATTTTTAGTTGTGTTTTAACTTTTCCTTTTACTGTCTCATTGATTTACTGTCCTTATAAATCATGCTGGGGGTGACATGTTACATGTAGTTGAAGCCATGATCTGGAGTTTTAAAGTACCCTCTTCAATGTGTGTATTTAAATTCTTGGGACCTGTAGTGTAAGTTTTGCATTGAGATCCTGCCTAAGGAAGATGTCTGAAACAGAAACCAACTCAGACCACCCCCACATTCATCCCAGGGCCAGCAGCCTGACCTGTTACCGTAGAAATAAGAGGGTCTGTGCCCTCTGCAGGCTGTGAGCCAGTTAAAACTGATGATAGCCTAGTTCCCTGACAGCTGCCTCATCTGCGGTCCTAGCGCCTCTTTTGAGAAAGAAAGCCCGATTTCTGCCATTGTCTCTGTGTGTGTGTGTGTGTGTGTGTGTGTGTGTGTGTGTGTGTGTGTTTGGGTAATGGTGGGGGATCAGGAGTGAAGTCAGGACCTACCCCCAAATTGAATTGGAGGAAGAGCCCTTAAAATGTATCTCTTTTTCGTAATTACATTTGAGAAACCAGTGGAGAGGTATTTTTCCCCAGAGTGGAACCCAAATTCAAGCATTTGTCAATTACACCTATTCAATTTCAGCCCAGAACAAGCGTTGCTAAATGAGGCATTTTAGACAACGAGGAAATCAGCTGATTAAAGAAATTCATGGTTCCTTCAAAGGGTCATCATTTTGGAGCCGCTCTTCCTTGGGCCAAGGGGCCTCCTTGTTCCTCCAGGTTATCACCCTGGCTGACCTCTGCTCCTCTGCCGAGAGGCGTTCGTTCCCCAGACAGTCACACTCCTGCTTGACCAAAGTGCTTCCTTGCCTTCTTTGTGGCTTGATGCAACAGTCCTCTCCCCCCATGGCTGCCCTTTCTGCTCTGGCCCTTTGTTCTCATGCTCTCCCCAGCCCGGGTGGGAAGGCTGAGCTGATTTACTGTGACACATGGACACACATGGAAGTTCCCAGCGGAGGCTCATGCTGTAGTTGTGCAAGAAGAGAGATGCAGGTCTTCGATGATTTTGTTTCTTCTCCCCTTCCTCCTTCCTCTTTTTTTTCTTTTTTGGTTTACATGAAACTTTTAATTTTGTTTCTAGTTTGAGAAAGCAGAATAAACCCAATGCAACCTCAACAATAATAAAACTACCCGAAATCAGGTGATCACCATCATTTTTGTCCCAGAGAGCACTGGCTCATTAGATTGATATTAACCAACTCTAAGATTTAATTCTCTAAATTAGTGTTATGTATGTCAGAATTATTTGATAAATAC